CACTAGTCATGGAGTGTAGTGACCGCTAAGGAAGAACTGGCTCTCTCTTGGGGGGGTCTCAGGCAAGGCACTGTCCGCCTTTGGACACAGTTTCCTCGTGTAATCAGGTGAATCTCCAGGTCTCCCTCTGGTAGCGAGGGCACAGCCGGATACGAGCTTGCGACCAAGGAACGTGGCTCTCAGGCACAGCCTAGGGGGTGTGCGAAAGGGAGGATCCTGGCAGGGGATTCGCTGAACCGTAGCCTCGCCTTTAAGAGGAGCGAAGGGGCGTGCTTTTTGAGGTTTGAGATTCGCCAGCCCGGACGCTGATTTAGTAGTACACGTAAGATCAACCCTGGCGGCGGCGGCGAATAAGACGCCAGCCCGGGCAGTGCAGAGAGAGGCCCGCGGAGCAGAGCTGCATCCCGGGGTCCGGGTCCCAGGCGGCGTGGCCCACGGGTCATGGCCAAAGGAGAGGGCGCCGAGAGCGGGTCCGCGGCTGGACTGCTGCCCACTGGTGTCCTCCCAGCTGGTGAACACCCGGCCCGAGTGAAGGTGAGTGCACGGCACCCCTGTGGAGAGCAAGTGGTGGGGGACAGGCAGCGAGGAGGGTGTCCAGGGATTGGCCCGGCTCTGGGACATCCTGGGTTTGCCGTGGACCGAGAGCTCACGGGCAGCAAAGGGCCCCGCGAGTACCTTGGGGCACAGGGTGATGTAGAAGGTTTCCAGGCGCCCCATGCCCCCCTTCCCTTATTGCTCACCGGTACTTTGCTGCCTTCCCGGCAACTCCACTGGTGCCCGACTGTGGGGTTTCCGTTTGTCTAACCTGTGGGGCGTACAGCTTAGGTTTTCCACCCTAGAAGCAAGAGAGACCGCAGAAGGCTGGGAAACCCCCCTTGATCCTCCATCTCTCACCCCTTTGTCTCCACTGCTTTTGCCTCAACTGCTGTGAGGGCCGCTCAAGTTCATTCATAAGAACAAGGGCTACGTCCTTCTTAAAGGAACAGACCGAGCTTTTTGTGTGACTGTCGGTTTCGGCTGGCTCGCGGGCTGAGTTTTACCGTCTTCACTTTTGCCCGACCTCCACTCCCCGGACAAAATAAAAGACCCAATGAAATCCCGAGGCTCCAGCGTGGGATCCCAGGCAACAGATATAGGACGGGACGTTACTGCCCTTTCCTTTTAAATTTAGTTGATGTTGGAGGGAGCACGGTAAGCAATTTTGCTGCTACTTTGTATGAGTAATCGACTTTCCTAAGGCAACTTTAGTCCTGCCCCACCCAGAGAACTGAGCCTTGCACCTAGAGCCGTTTCCTTCCCTCTCCAAGGTCCCCTAGGAGCTGGGGGAGGAGGGCAGCTCCTGGGTTTGTCTGAAGCTCTGGCTACCTCGTGGGACCTGGGAGCTGTGGGATGAAAGGAGCAGCTGTGCCTGCAGTCAGTTGGGGGGGGGGAGGGGAGAGAGGGGCCCCCAGCTCTCCAGAGCCCTCACCCAGCCGGCAGGTGTCTCTCTCATCTAGTGTGGGAGCCAGGGCTGGACTCAGGCAGCTATTGGCAGCAAGAGGATTTTCAGGTTGTAGCAGTTGATACCAAGTGGAGACAGGTCTGCTGCTGGAGCATGTTCCCACCTCATCCTGGAACAGAATGTGACTGAAGCCTTAGGGGGAGTTTTTTAGGTGTGGTGGGCTGGTAGGTATCTACAGAAAATGGGGGCATGGGGTGGGGCTAAGTGGTTTAGGGGCAAATTCCTCTATATGGATTCTCTTTTTCCTGGCATGTAAGAACAGAGAATACCTTTTCTTTTCTTCTGGGAAGTAGTATCTCCCTGGGTGGGAAAGGGCAAAGCAGTCTTGTTCCTTCTGACAAAGTTGGTGGTAGGAGGTGGGGGGGGGGGGGTTGCTCTGCCTGTGGAACCCTCGAGAATGGAGGCCAGACTCTTGAATCTATTGTCATTCTCTCCTCATAGAAAGAACCAAAGAAGAAGCAACAGTTATCCATTTGCAACAAGCTTTGCTATGCAGTTGGGGGGGCCCCCTACCAGGTGACAGGCAGTGCTCTGGGGTTCTTCCTGCAGATCTACCTGTTGGATGTGGCTCAGGTGAGTAGGCTGAGGGTGCTGAGGCTCCTCCAGCATCAGAGGTGGGATAGACTAAGATGCCCTGGTATCTTCATTCGGTTTTCCCCTTCGTGAAATGGGACCAGGAATCCCTACTTGCTGCCTCTCAGGTTACAGTGACTGAGAGATAGGCTTTGGAAAGTATCTGGAAGGCGAGTCTGTCTGCCCCGGATTCTTAACTGGCAAGGTCAGGCAACTCCTCCTTGCCTGGCAAAAGCAACGGAGCCTGTTGGTGACGCTGTTCTTAGAAGAGACTAACACACCATGTCCCTGGCTGGACAACAGTCAGCTGGCTTGGCTCTGGGTTTGGTGGGTGCTGCCAGTCTTGGGGACAAAGAATATCCCACCTTCTCCCAAGCTGCAGAGGCATGCAGTGGGCAGAAAGGTCCTCAAGTGCTAGGCTAGGTTAGGGTGCCCCAGTACACAGTCTTTGGGAGCATTACTTAGGGTGAAGCAGGGTTCCTCCGTACTTTGAGAAGGCTTGGCTAGCAGCCTGGCATCCTGAGAATTCACCTTGTCTGAATGGAAGAGTGGGAGGCTGAGCAGTCCTGGCGGGTGTACTGGCCTTTTTTATGTAGCATCTGACTCTGCAAGCAGGGCATCTTGGTTGTATCCATTTATAAGTGGGAACACTGAGCCCCAGAAAAGGCAAATAACTGCTTTTAGCGAGCTTTTGAGCAGCTCCCATGAGCTGGGCTCTGAGTGGGGTGCACATATGAGGATACCGCAATCAAAGTGTAAAGCTGTGAGTTTTAGGGTCTGAAAAGACAGGGGAGATTGCAGTGTGGGACAGGCTCTCTGCTTCCCGCGCAATAAAAATAGTAGTGCCTTGATGTATAAGGAAGAGCCCAGAGAAGTGGTATATTTAGAACTAGAAGCTTTGGGGGAAGGGGGTAACTTGAGTGGGAAGTACCCAGGTCATTTTTTAAAAGCATCTGAGTTCATTTTTCTACACCCAAAAGAGAATCTCACCCTGCAAGACAGAAATCATAACTCCCATTATACAGATGGGGAAATTGGGGTATACTGTGGCCATTCAGAAAATGCTACTTCTGATATTAGGGGTGGGAGGATGTGAGGCAAGAAAATTATTTTGGACTCATTCGAATTAATGGGGGGTGAGGAGGAGGGCAGTGAAGGGAGGGACTTAAGGGGACAGATCTGGAAAAAATTCTGAGGAAAAATTCTGAGGAGGCACTCAATGCTTCTGTTGAGAGCTGTTACTGTTTTTATTAAAAAGGCAGGTGAAGATGCTGAAGGCCCGCATGGAAGCAGTGTAGTGTCCAGGGGCCTGGCTGAGGCAGGGAAAGAGTCCCAGCTTTTGCCTGCCAGTGAGGGTTGAGGTAGTAGAAGGTTGAGGGATCATCTTTTGCCTTTTCCCATTCCAGGTAAACCCTTTCTCTGCCTCCATCATCCTGTTTGTGGGCCGAGCTTGGGATGCCTTCACAGACCCCCTGGTGGGCTTCTGCATTAGCAAATCCTCCTGGACCCGCTTGGGCCGCCTCATGCCCTGGTGAGTAGTAAGCAGCAACTCCTTCAAAGTGGCAAAAGGCAGGGCTTTCGGCACATTGACCCTTTGGTCCATCCATCTGGCTTGTCACGGCTGGAGGGTGAGAAAAAAAAATGACACAAAAATGCAAGTGTTGAAACCCTAACTTGAGGTCTCAGCTGCCCCAGGCATGGGAACTGGGACACCCTGCCACTTCATTCCCAGGCTGACCAAAGTGCTAGACTGAATAGCTCCACCTGCTCCAAGCCCTCTTGCTGCCCTTGTCAAAGAAGTTGGAATTCTGACTTCTCCCACTCACTTCCCATAATGGCAGAGGTAGTACTGCATAGTGGTTGAGAGATTACACTCAGGAGCCAGCCTGCCTGAATTTGAATTCCAGATTCACCACTTAGAGCTGTGCAATATTGCGTAAGTCACTTAACATCTCTGAGCATCAAGCTTTCTTCATCTGCTAGATGGGGATGATAGTTATGCCTATCTCATGGGGTTGTGATGAGGATAAAGTGTTTCTTTATATGCTTTAGAATAGTGCCTGTCACACATTAAGTGTTTCGGCAACCCTTCATACCTGCTCCTGGTGGGCAAGGGTGGCAGGTAATACCAAGAGTGGAACAGTAGGTCCACAATTTCTGGCCCCTTGGATGTGAGCTACCTTTTCCCCTCGATACAAAGCCTGTACTACTCAACTTCAGGCTGTGGGGCACAATAGGGGGAGGTGGTGGGCAGATCAGAGGCAAAGGGAGACATACACAGGCTGGGGCTCTGGTTCCCTCCAGGACATCCTGCTTGGTGGGGGGGTGACATACCCCTTTCATCTCCAGCCCATGCAGGCTCAAGTGGGCGCCTTCCTGCCCCAGGGGTGCCCATACCTGGTCTCCGGCCTTCAAAGTTCTTCCCACAGCCCCCAACTCCCAACAGCTTCCTTTCCCATGAGGCCCCCTCCCACCACAATCTCACCAGCTCCTGGCCAAGGCCCAGGTTGGGGCCTTTGATCCAGCTTCAGAGCCAGCAGGCAAGACAGCCAGTCTCACCTGGGCAGGCTGCTCTGGGCTCCCAGCTAGCTGGCCCTTGAGACCCGGCCCTGGAACACTCTTCCTTGGCAGCTGGTGGGAGGCGGGGCTGGGCTGCCACATCTCCTCATGAGTTCCAGCCAATAGGAAGCAGCAGCACTGGCCAGCCCAATGCTGCGCAGCCCCGGGTTACTCCCTGTCACAATGGATTCCTCAGTGTTGGTGGGTCTGCTGCCGCAGCTGCCTAGGAGGAGAGGATGGAGTGATTGAGGAGCCCTTGTTCTCACAGGAGACAGACGATTCAGGAGGGGTGGAGGAGGCAAAGAGTGGGAGCAGAGGAGGCCCTGCCGGTGGGAAATAGGATCGGAGGGCCTCTCTGGGCAGGTAGCAGCGGTTAGCATCAGGTCTGTGCACAGGTCCTCGCTTGTCTGCTGGCAACTCCTGGTGACGCCCCCTCCCATCTCTGAGCGCACACTGGATCACTTGTGGGCTGTTGGGCCGCTGTGCCCGTGACCTCCTCCCTGACCACACCACAGTCAGATCCAGGGGCAGGCCCCCCTTTTCCTTTCAGTGTAGAAAGAGACTGTGTCTTTGGGGATTCATGAGCCATGTGATCTCTTTTCTTCCAGGACACCAGACCAGCCACTGTTGTCAGCCAGCATTTAAAGCCCTCACTTGAAGAAGGGGCCAGGCAGATAGGGGATGGTTTCAGAGGGTGGAAGAAAGCAAGAAATAAACCCTGCACTTCAGACGAGGAAGGCTGACAGGTCCCAAGGCCGCCCAGTAAGAGGCAGGTGGCAGCAAGGTCACACTGAGAGGTGGACTGGGCTTTGGGATCTGATCCCCAGTGTTCCCCGCAGCTCCCAGGCTGTGGGCCTGTACTCTCCTGCTGAACTTTCCTGGTGTGATAATCACAGCAAACTCTTACTATGTCCCAAACTATTCTACATTTCAATATCAAGTTAAGTCTCAAAACTACTTCAGTCCTATGAAGAAGAAGAAAAGTCATCACAGAGACCTGCAAGACCCATGTGATGGGTATCCCATTTCCTCTCTGGTTTCATCTAATTTTATCTCCCTCACTGCAGCCCTGTGTTCCTGCAGTGTTCCTTCTGTTCCTCAGGCCTGCCAGGCAAGCCTTCTACCTGAGGACCTTTGCACTGACTGCTCCCCCGGCCTGCTCTTGCCTCAGATGGCCTCAAGGCCAGCACCTCCTCTTATTCGAGTCTTGGCACATGTCACCTTCTCAGTGAGGGCTTCTCAGATATCACCTTGCCACACCTCTGTGTGGAGAATTGCATACCCACCCTCCAAATCCCCTTTAGCCTGTTTTTCTCTATGGCACCTAATCACTTTTTAAAATGATATATAACCTTTTAAAAAATGTGATAAAAAATATATTATGTACACTTGTCACCAGCCTTCTCCAGAGGTGTTTTATTTTCCTAAACTGTATTAAAAAAATAAACCTAGCTCTCCCTAGCGGTGTAGTGGGTTAAAACACATCACTGAGAAGCTAAAGCCACTTCAGCATGAGTTTGATCCCCAACCTGGAGGTGACCCACATGGCGTGGCAGACCTCTCCTGACCCACTGATGCTCCCCTCAGCAGTGTACTTTGTCAGTTGGCCTGTATGTTCCCCACTCTGTTTCTGGTGAATCCTTTCACTGCCCCTGCACCTCTCACTTGTACCCCAGCTCTGTATGCATAAATAAATAAATAAATCTTTAAAAAAAAAATAAACCTATTTAAAAAAAAATAACTCCTCACATCTCCCCGGAAGCCACCATATGAACTTGACTATTCTGGGGACCATATATAATGGTACCACAGAATGTGGAATTTTGGTATCTGGCTTATTTCACTTAGTATAATCTCTTCAGGATCATCTTTGTTGAACTAGGTGACATTTTTTTTTCCCTTGTAAGACTAAGTAGTGAATGTACCTTTTAAATTGCATTTGTGTTTTTTATTCACCAGCTCAAATATAAGTAGGGTTTTGTTCACTGGGACATCCCAAATTAGGAGACTAATGCCTTGTCCATGGTTGGCATTGAATGTTACTTGAGTAACACTGAACACCTGGCAGGAGTTATCACTCTTCTCACTTTACAGGTGAGAAAATGAGCCTCAGAAAAGTTAAACAACTTGCCCAAGATCAGGTTAGAGTTGTTGATAGACTTGGAGTGTGGCTTCAAAGGCTGTTCATTCTTTTTAAGATTTATTTAACTATGCATACAAGAGCTGGGGTCTAGGCTAGAGGTGCAGGGGTGGGGACAGGGATAAGAGGATTTACCAGAGACAGAGTGGGGAGCAGAACAGGCTGATCTACTGAAACACACTGCTGAGGGGAGCAGCGGCCAGACAGGAGAGGTCTGCTGCGCCATGTGGGTCAGCTCCCTGGCCAGGGATGGACCTCATGCTGCAGTGGCTGGGTATAGCTTCACAGTGCTGAGACTTAACCCCTTTCGCCACCAGGGAGGCCCCCAAAGGTCTTTCATTTGACTGCTGCTCTCTGCTGCCTTTCATTTGACTGCTGCTCTCTGCTGCCTTTCATTTGACTGCTGCTCTCTGCTGCCTTTCTTTCTTTCTTTTTTTTTTAAAGATTCATACAGAACTGGGGTACAGGCCAGAGATGCAGAGGGTGAGAGGATTCACCAGAGACAGAGCGGGAAGCAGAACAGGCAGATCGACGAAGTACACTGCTGAGGGGAGCAGCGGGCGGGTCAGGAGAGGTCTGCCTTGCCTTGTGGTCGCCTCTGGGGCAGGCGGGAATCGAACTCATGCTGAAGTGGCTCTAGCTTCTTAGTGCCGTGCTTTAACCCACTGCGCCACCAGGGAGGGCCCCTCTGCTGCCATTCTTAATGATGCTGAAATGAGTCCACCTGGCGGCCTAACTACTAATGATGGCGTGTGGCTCAAACGGCAGCTGCTTCCTTCGTGGTTCTTACACTAGACCCAGGCCTCCCCTGTGGCTTCTCTTAAAGGAAAACCTTTGTTTGGAGTTGGCCTCCTCACCCTTGCTGGTGTGCTGTGTGTGTGTTTGTGTGTGTTCGTGCACACACACATGCATATGTGAGAACAGGAGTGTCAAGTGTGCTCCTTCCTGCCCCACCACCTGAGGTCTTGGCCTCCCTTCTCAGCTCCCCCAGTCACAGGAAGCCCCTCCTCTGGAGCCCTCACCAGGGGAGACGCTGGGATCTGACCTAATGCTCCACGCTCAGGATTTCAGTCCAAGAGCCTGTTCTTCCAGGCTTGGCCATCAGCCTCTTCCCAGAGATCCTGGGGCAGGTAGACTTAGGGGGAGGGGCTTTCTCCCCCAAGGTGGGTGCCCCGAGGGGCAAGCTTAGAGCCTGGTGCTTTGGCATTCAGTTACCATTCAGAATTTCCCCTTCCTCAGGATCATTTTCTCCACACCCCTGGCCATCATTGCCTACTTCCTCATCTGGTTCGTGCCTGACTTCCTACAGAATCGGACCCTGTGGTACCTGCTTTTCTACTGCCTCTTTGAGACACTGGTCACGGTGAGTGTGGGCACCTCCTAGGGCATCTGGGGCCAAGGGTAAGGGCAATCCCTGGGGCCTCTAGGGTTGGTGCCCAAAGCCACATCTGTTTGTCCATCACCTGACTGGCCAAGGGCCTCTCTTCCATACCAGTGTTTCCACGTTCCCTACTCAGCTCTCACCATGTTCATCAGCACAGAGCAGAGTGAGCGGGATTCGGCCACTGCATATCGTAAGTCTTTCCCAGCCCGCTGGTCCCTCCCATAGGGACCTGGGCCTGCTACTTCCAGACCCTCATGCCACACTATTCCCCTTCCAGGCCCAGCTCTCAGCTCTGCTCTTGGATGTGTAGTGAAACCATCTTAAAAATAACTCAGCCCCTTTATTGCTCTGGCGAGGCCAGAGAGGTGCAGAGGTCACACATCAAGGCCAAGTGCCATCTACCCCACTATCCTATACTCGCACCTACACAGGCACCTCTGCCTGCTGCCATTCCCTGGGGCTAGAGCTGGACTTCTATGCATCTGATTTTCCTCCTTGGGAACCCTTAAGCCATGTGGTTTCTCTAAAGGATCTGCTTTTCCCTGCTCAGGGATGACTGTGGAGGTACTGGGCACAGTGCTGGGCACAGCAATCCAGGGGCAAATCGTGGGCCAAGCAGATATGCCTTGTCTCCAGTCCAGTGGATCTGAAGTGGCCAACCGCACACAGAGTACCCCCTCACTCAAAAAAACGGTGAGCCCCTGGCAAGGCAAGGATGTGGGGACATGAGGGAAGATGGGGTGATTTTCTTAGGCTCAAAATAGTGCCAGTAGCTAGTATTTATAACATGTTGGGTGTTTGATAGGCAAACTGTTATATGTCAACTTTGCACATAAGAAAATTGAAGCACATGGAAAAGATCATGCTTAGTGAGATAAGCCAGAAAGAGAAAGAAAAATTCCGGATGGTTTCGCTCATAGCAGGAGTATAATGGGCCAGGCGAGAAAATAATAAGAATAATGAACAGCCATATACCAGAGACATTTTGTGGGGGTGGATTGGGGAATGGGATCAGAAACGGGGGAGGGAAGTGCATGGGACTATGGTGATGGCACACGGGTGACTCGGTGATGGGAAACCCACAGGGATTACAATTGAGATGAAAAAAAAATGTACAATATGATGTAAAAATAAACTTATAAAATAAAAAGAAAAAGAAAAGAAAATTGAAGCATAGAGAAATTAAATAATTTTCCAGCGTCACAGAGCTAGAGAATTGCACTAATTGGAATTGGGGCTATTTGAACTGTGGGCTCTCGGCTGCTAAAGCTCAGCTTCTTAACGTTTTGTCCCCTTGGAATATTGCCCAGCCCACGGAAGTAGAAACAGCCCCGGGATTCTGCTCCCATTACACAGGTGGAGACAGTGAGGCCCCAGAGAAAAAGGGACTGTTCCCCACTTCTGCGTGTTGGGATGAGATCAGACTGATTCTATTTACCTTTGCAGCAAAGCGCGTACCTGTTGGCAGCAGGTGTCATTGCCTCCATCTATGTCATCTGTTCTGTCATCCTGACCCTGGGTGTTCGGGAGCAGAGAGGTGAGGGCCCTTGGGGAGGGAGGCAGGTCTTAGCCTGGGTGCTTTGTCCCTCTGCCTGGGCCTTATGTTTCAGGAGGGACCTCTCTTTCCTCCTCACTGTCCACTCTGGTCTCCAGAACCCTATGAGACCCAGCAGGCTGAGTCGATGTCCTTCTTTCGGGGTCTCCGGCTGGTCATGAGCCACGGTCCGTATGTCAAGCTTATTGCCGCCTTCCTCTTCACCTCCCTGGCTTTCATGGTGAGTAGGGGAGCCTAACGTGCTCAGCCTGAGGTGAGGGGTACACTGAGATTGGGCTGGCCAAGGACTACCATGAGGAAAAGTCTGAGGGACAGGTGGAAGGGGTGGGGAGAGCAGAGCTCTGTGGAGTATGGGAAATGTCTTGGGGAAGCCTGACTCCCATATCACCTCTTCTCTTGTGTTTTCTTCCCCTATCCTACTCCACCTCCAGCTGGTGGAGGGAAACTTCGCCTTGTTTTGCACCTATACTTTGGGTTTCCGCAACGAGTTCCAGAATCTGCTCCTGGCCATCATGGTGCGTGTGGGACCTGGAGGGGCGGGTAGGTTCCTTGGATAGTCAGGGACATCTCCGAGACCTGCCCAAGTTCATGAGGGGGTCAGGGAGGTGTCTGGTCTCAGAATATTTGATTGGCGCTGACTTTCAATTGCCTGGCTTGGCATGTGAAAGAAAGGGTTGTGTACATATATCGAATCACTATGTCATCATGCCTTAAAGTCATACAACATGGTGGCGTGTCACTTATGTCTCAGTAACTAGGGAAGGAAGGAGTTTGGGATTAGATGCCCAAATAGAGAGCACAGAAGAAGCAAAGGTGGAGGCCAGGAACTCTGGAACTTTGGGCTCAGTTGCACTCTGACAAGGCAAGAGATGAATTTGGGACTAGCTCAGCTCCCCTGCAGAACTACCAAAAGTGCTCGTCAACCTCCTTGCTGCCCAGGTGCTATCTGGGAGGGCAGGGAGCGAGCCCTCCCACTAGGGAGGGCAAAGGAGTTCCCTGACTTGCACCCCTTTTGTCCACCCATAGCTCTCAGCCACCTTGACCATTCCCATCTGGCAGTGGTTCCTAACCCGGTTTGGCAAGAAGACAGCTGTTTACTTCGGCATCTCAGTGAGTGGGACCGAGAGGATGTGGCTGGCCTGGGTTGGGGGTTTCTGGCGGGAGCCTCCAGCCTGACTCGTCTTCTGTACCTGCTCCCCAGTCGGCAGTGCCGTTTCTCATCCTGATGGCACTCATAGAGAAAAACCTGATCCTCACGTACGTGGTAGCCGTGGCCGCAGGCATCAGTGTAGCAGCTGCCTTCTTACTTCCCTGGTGAGTATACGTAGACCCACCTGTGTGTGCTCCCCAGCACCCCCACACCCCAGCTCTGAAGCTTCTTGGGGAAAATCAGAATTCTGGCATTTCTTCTTGCCGCCATCCTGGGGTCCCATTCTGAGTGCAGGTGGGGGGTGGGGCAGGTCTCCCTTTCATGCTTGTACAGGATGTGAACTGAGCACCTAATTAGGTGAAAAATGGGGCTTATGTCTGGCTAAGCACTTGGAGGGGGACTACTTCATCTTGGAGGAAGGGGCCTTCTATGCTTATGTGCATGAAGGGGTCCTCTCCTTACTGATGTGTGCTAGAGGCCTGCAAACACCAAGTGCCACCTGTGTCATTGACACAGGTGCCCGATGGGTAGCAGGGGCTGGGTTGCTGGGCGGGTGGGTGCTCATGCTTCTCCCACCCTCTGTAGGTCCATGCTGCCTGATGTCATCGATGACTTCCACTTGAAGAAGCCCCACTCCCTTGGGACAGAGCCTATCTTCTTCTCCTTCTATGTCTTCTTCACCAAGTTTGCGTCTGGTGTTTCACTGGGCATCTCCACCCTCAGTCTCGAGTGAGTGGGGTGGAGGCCTGGGGCAGTGCTAGGTAGGGCCAGTCCCCCCGTGTTCCCTCCTCACCTCTCCCATCCCACTGGCTCCCACAGTTTTGCTGGGTACCAGACTCGTGGCTGCTCCCAACCGGAGCGTGTCAAGTTTACACTGAAGATGCTGGTGACCATGGCTCCCATAGTCCTCATCCTGCTGGGCCTGCTGCTCTTCAAACTGTATCCCATTGATGAGGAGAAACGGCGGCAGAACAAGAAAGCCCTGCAGGCTCTAAGGTGAGGGCCGGGCAGCACCTGGGAGGTGGCACCGACCAGTCTCAGTCCTCAGCCTCTGTGGCCAAGTCCACCTTCTCCCTGCACATCTTGCCCGACAGCTCCTCTCCCCCTTCCCACTGCAAAGGCAGGATAATGGCAATTGACATTTCTTTACCACTGAACTACACACCAGGCACAGTGCTGAGGGCTTTTACATATATTATTGGAAACCTACCAGGTGCCAGGCATTTTGTTCTATTGAATGAAACAAACAAAAATCCCTGCCTTCGAGGAGTTTCCATCCTAAGGAATGTGCAGTCACGATTGCTGGCAACCTCCAACAGCCCCTAAGTGTCAGAGGTGCCTGTGGACTCCCACTTAACTGGTGTAGAGACTGAGGCTTAACCAGGAAGAGGGACAAGCCTGGCTGCTAAGGGGTAGAGCTGGGCTTGAGCCTGGGTATTTTGAATCCAGCACCTGTACTCTGCATAGTTCCCCTGGGGTGCAACTCCTTGGGTAGGGCCCAAGTCCTACCTTGTAGGAGACCAAAGGGCAGGTTGGAATGAGTCATGCCAGCTCATCAGCCAGGTCAGGCCAGAGTATGGCCCTGTTGGCAGCACAAACAGCCAACCAGCAGTTTCTGAACCAAAAGTAGGAGTGTGCAAACCAGCTACCTCATGGCAAGAAAGAAGAGCCTATGGCCAACAAGCAGGTGGGGGTGCAGAATGGGGTAAGGATGTGTCCTCCAACCTGTGTCCTCTAACTCTTGCAGGGAAGAAGCCAGCAGCTCAGGCTGCTCCGACACAGACTCTACAGAGCTGGCCAGCATCCTCTAGGTCTGCTGTGTTGCTCTAAGCCACCAAATTCGGGGCCTAGGTCTCCAGGTCTCACAGAGGACCCTAGACCTGCTTGCCCGCTCACTGAACAGCTGGTCTCCAGGTGCCAGGAAGGGAGTCCAAGTGTGAGCGGCCCAGGACACCTCATGTGCCCACTGTGAGGCAGGCCATTCATGCTGCCTGCCCTCTGGCCACTCCTGGGGCTGAGCCCTGGGGCTGCTACTGTGAATATGCCAAGGACTGATGGGCCTAGCCCAGAACACTAATACAGAAACGTTTTATACAGATACTAATTAATAACTTAATGACCTTGTATATAGTGTTGTATGTACATATATGTATGGCTGTAGCTATTAATGTTATTAATTTTGATAAAAGCTGGTAAAGAGAACTGCCTGTTTGTCTTTGCCCTCACCTGCTCACTGAGTCCTCCTGTGCCAGGATTTGGTAGTGAGAAGGAGCACTAAGTCTCAGCTGCCCTGGGCAAGGGGCATGTGCCTGAATTGTGGTATCCTCATTTAAGTCCTAAAGCTTTCTTGCTAAGCTGGGACTGTCCATTTTCAAGATGATAAAATAAGGTAGCCAGGCCACAGGGACAATGGAGACAGGCTAAATCATATAGCCAAGAGTGACTTTCCTGGAATCTCATCCCAGGTCTGTGGACTCTAGGGCCTTTGCCATCACCCTGCCTTCCCCTGAGTCTGAGAACAACTGACCACCTGGCAGACAGACCTTGCTCCACCCATTCCCACATGCTGGACTTCCCACCCTGATGTGAGATGCCGGCTATGCTGGAGCAGACTCTGAAGGGAGCCCTGTGGGGTTCCGGAGACGTGTAACTTTTTCCCACAGCTATAACTGACAGTGCTGGAGAATGTACCTGGTGGGGGGTGTGGGTGTTGGTGAGGAGTCTCACACAAGTTGCTGGTGAAAAACCACCCACCTCTGGCCCAGAAACAGGTCATGGGGAAGACCTCGTTTGTAGCCTTTGCCCATTTCATTGGTATAAATACGCCCACAGTAGCCAATTCCAAGTTACAGGGGTTGTACTACCTTGCAAAATTCCTGAAAATTGAACAGTAGGCTCTTGCAAACTGTTAGAAGTTTGTCCCAGCCCATCATTGGCTTTCCCACACTTAGGCCAAGTTCCAGACTTTCGAAGACAGAAACTGGCAGTGTCAAGGTTACGAATTCAACCTCTTTCTTTCTTTCTTTTTTTAAATATTTATTTGTGCAGATAGACCTGGGGTATAGGCCAGAGGTGCAGGGGCAGTGAGAGGATTTACCAGAGACAGAGTGGGGAGCAGAATAGGCCGACTGACAAAGTACACTGCTGAGGAGAGCAACAGGCGGTTCAGGAGAGGTCTGCCGCGCCATGTGGGTCACCTCCGGGATGGGGATCAAACTCAGGCTGAGTGGCTTTTGCTTCTTAGTGCTGTGCTTTAAGCCACTGCGCCACCAGGGAGGGCCCCACAGCCTCTTTCTTTTATAGATGGATAAACGAGGCCCGGAGAGGAGGCAAGGACTGTGTAGGCAGTTTTTACTTTGGGTATGGGGCTCCCTTTTGAAGGAAGGTCCATTTTTGCTGATGAATTTCTGCTCAGCAGTTTTTAAGTTTTTTTTTGTTTGTTTTGTTTTAAATAACATTGGTTTATAGCGCTGTGTTATTTCACCGATATACAGATATACCGATATACAGCTACACCCACACCCACCAGCTAAGGTCTGATCATTATCTATCACTCTCTCCCCCTGCTCCACACTCCCCAGTCCCTTTTCCTCTGTTAACTATCATTCTGTCAGAGTCTAAGGGCTTGCATTTGCCTTGTTTGCTTCTTTGCTTTATTTCCATACAAGAGACTTCAATACCTTCCTTTTGTGTTCTGTTTGGATTCCATTTTGTTTTCCCTTTGTTTCTTCAATGCATTTTTGTCTGGAGGTTACCATGAAGTTCATGAGATTCTATGTTTACAATCCCTTTTAAATCTATCCCAGTTAATCTTGAGTTACAGTCCACATTTTTACTCTCAAGCCCTCATTCAATGTTCTTTTATGTGTCCCTTGACTGACATGATGGGCCTTATTTGCAACACTGTATATGTTTTAGAGGGTCACATGCCACATGTGTATGTGAACAGACCACCTCTGCCAAACGCCCCAGTAGACCTCTACCACAGCCCCGTGGCCTCCCTCTCCCTTTTGCTCTGATTCCCCACCTTTCCCTTCTAGTACCCAAGGTTTTGTCCTTCTACTTCTATCTATAACAACCAAATCTCATCCTTAAAAAAATAATTACTTGCTGGCCCTCCCTGGTGGCGCAGCGGGTTAAAGCACAGCACTGAGAAGCTGAAGCCGCTTCCGCATGAGTTCGATTCCCGCCTGCCCCGGAGGTGACCACATGGCGCGGCAGACCTCTCCTGGCCCGCCCGCTGCTACCCTCAGCAGTGTACTTCGTCGATCTGCCTGTTCTGCTCCCCACTGTCTCTGGTGAATCCTCTCACCGCCCCTGAGCCTCTAGCCTGTACCCCAGTTCTGTATGTACAAATAAATAAATTAAAAAAAATAAATAATTACTTGCTAAACCACTCAAGCTTGCATCTTTCCCATTCCTACAATTGACTGCTCAGGTCTTTTCTCTCACCTGCAAGATTATACCAGCATCCTCACTGTCTTTGTCTCTTTGTCTTTGATTGAATCTCACATTCCTTCGCAAACTAGCCGAGATAACCTAGGAGTTCTGTTCAGAAATCCTCTGTGAGCCCTCATTGCCCTCAAGTGTGAGTCCAATCTCCCCAGCCCTAGATCTAGATATAGGCCTTTTTTGCAGGCCACCTGCCTGGCCTTGAAATATACTTCTGGCCTCTGGCCCGCTGGTAGACACTAGTCCAGGTTACCCTTGCTCTAGCATGCCTCTCAAAAACTGTTCTTGCCCCTGCCCCTCAGGACACCAAGGAGGGGCTAAGAGTTGGATGACTGTGAGCAATGACTGGAGAGGACCAGGGGGTCAGACCCACTGACCCATCATGATGCTCTGTTTCCAGTCTTTTCCCCCATCTGTAAAATGGGGATGTGGAATTGAAAATGCTCACCTCGCTCTAGTTTCATGTTCAGAGATAATTGTTCTTCTCAAAGACCCCTTACTGACTTTTGGGAAGATGATTTGGAGATAAAGGAAGTGGGAAAGTGACCTGAGATCCTTTTGGGTCATTGGCTACTGTAGGGGTTTCCTGGACAGTTCATACCTTCCCATCCTTTGGGAGAAGTGTCATCACAACTTCCTCTGTGCTTGGAATCTCGCATTACCACAACAAATTCTACCTCTCCCTCTTCTGTCTTCAGCCAAGCCAAGCTGACGACCACCTTGCTAAGGACCAGGTGGGGCGTGGGCTCCACCTGCTGGAAAAATCAGGCAACACTTTCAATATTGCACTGCAGGAAGTCCAGAGCTGGCTCTGCCACGTTAACTATCCATTTACCAAACACCCATAAAGGGAAGACTATGTGTTGTGTACAGGCAAAGCTCTGTGGAGAGACTGGTGAACATATTAGCACTTCCAGTCTTGGTAGGGACCAATGACAAAGACAAAAAGGGACCAAAAGTAGTCATAAATCAGACTATTTCAAATTGCAATAGACTTGAAAGAAATAAGCAGGATGCCATAATAGAGGAAACTAGCGTGGAGGCTATTTTCAATCAGGGTGAGCAGGAAAGAATCTTCTGAAAAACTGATGTTTGGCTTAGATCACAGAGAAGAATTAACCAGACATTCCAAGGGAAGGGAGAAAGCATTGCAGGTGGAGGGAGAGAGAGCTAATGCAGACTGAGGTAGGAAAGAGCCTGATATATTTGAAATACTGAAGGAAACAGCACGTCCAGACTGAGGCAAATTAGAGGCCTGGTGGAACAAGGTGGACTTGCTGAAGTATATGGGAACTAGGTCACCCAGCCCTTCCAGCCCATAGTGAGAGTTCAGATTTTGAGAACAGCAAGCAGGCTTTGAAAATTGTAAGCAGAAAAGTGATTTGCATTAAAAAAAAGTAGGTGGAGAATTGACTCGAGGGGAGTAAATGCTACACGGAAGAGAGCGTGGGTTGGCTGGTAGTGTGGGTTCAGGCTGGATGTTAGACAGCCTCACCCTTCTGAGAGTTTGCACATTTCATTCTACAAGGTGTGAGGCTGATAACCTTGCTTCCTTTGACTTAGATGAGATATGAATGAGGTTGTGATGTATTTTGTCCCCAGGGGAGGAAAGCGTAGTTTATTCAGCAAATATATGTGCACATCTACTATGCACCAAGTCCTGCACTAAGAGTGGGGGACACAGCAGAGTCCTGTCTTGGGTGTGTGTGTGTTGTTTTGTTTTGTTCTGACCTAGAAAAACATGTTAACTGAGTGAGCACAAATGTCCTGCATGTTACAAGGAAGAGCAACAAGCTATGAAAGTGTGTAACAGATTCAGAGTGGCTGAGCATTCCTGAGGTCTGAGAAATGAGTAGTACTTAGGCAGGCAAAGAGAAAAGGAGAGCAAGATAGTCTCATGGCGTAGGAACCGTGCCAAAGCTCCAACGCCACGGTCAAGGCACAGGGACAGACCAATGTGTCTGGAGTACGAAGACAAAGGGAGGGAAGAAAGGTGAGACTGAGGATGAAAGCAGAGGCGATGGTACAGGGCTTCGTGGGACATTTCACACATTTTGGTCATTATCTTAACAGCAGAGAGAAGCCCCTGATACATTTTAAGTAGGGGAGCCATAGGACAGATCAAGAGTTTAGGATCGTGCTTTGTGGAAAAAGGACTGAAGGAAAGTGGGAGCAGGATGACAAATGAAGAAGCTGGTCTTCTAATGCTCCTAGGTGACGAGAAGTACCAGACTGGGGTGGTAGTGGTGGAAATGGAAAGAAGAGCCCACATTTGGCAGCTGGTTGGCCTGGATACGTCAGAGAGGAGTTGAGGGAAAGGGAGAGGGGACCTGCTTAGATTTCTAACTTAAAGGAAACAAAGCAGCATAGAGAGCACTGGGCTAAGAGTAAGTTTTGGGGGAGAAAAGAACTCATTTGCCACTTGCTTGGTCATTTTCATTTAAAGAAAGGAAAAAAATCTTAGACATTCCACTAAAACAGCAACAAGGATATACACTATTACTACGTAACGTTTAATTGTAGTTACTAGCCAATACAACTAAATAAGAAAAACACTTGGGGGCCCTTCCTGGTGGTGGAGGTGGTTAAAACAGCTCTGTGAAGCTATCCACAGCCACTGCAGCAGGAGCTTGATCCCAGGCCAGGGGCGTGACCCACATCGTGCAGCAGACCTCTCCTGACCCGCCCGCTGCTACCCTCAGCAGTATACTTCGTCAATCTGCCTGTTCTGCTCCCCACTCTGTCTCTGGTGAGTCCTCTCACGGCCCCTGCTCCTCTGGCGTGTACCCCAGTTCTGTATGTATAAAGAAACTTTTTTTTTTTTTAAAGAAAACACTTGGAAAGGAGTAGCAAAATAATACTTGTCAATGACATGTTTGTATGCCAAGAGAACCCAAGTGAACCAATGAAAAACTACCATAAATAAGACAAATCAGTAAGGAAATGAGCTAAAAATTAATATACAAAAATCAATATACAAACTGTAATTGACTGACTACATTGTTCACATGACAACCACAACCACATGTGGCTGTTGGAATTCAAATTTAAAGTCATTAGAATTAAATACAACTTAAAATTCAGTTTTTCATTCACTCCAGTTACATGTTAAGTTCTCCATAGCCACGTGATGCGTGGCTTCTGTGTTTTGGTGTGATTATAGAACATGTCCATTATTGCAGAAAGTCTTCTTGTGCAGAGCTGTTAGAAAGAGACCACACATATGAGAGCAACAAAATACTTTGGAATAGGAAAGTGAAGGTCTTTTTCAAGCTGTATGACTGTTTTTTGTTTTTTGTTTTTTTTTTTTTAAGATTTATTTATGCTTACAGAACTGGGATACAGGCCAGAGATGTGGTGGGTAAGAGGGTTCACCAGAGACAGAGTGGGGAGCAGAACAGGCACATCTATTGAAATACACTGCTGAGGGGAACAGCGAGAGGGTCAGGAGAGGTCTGCCACGCCATGTGGGTCACCTTCCTGGCCAGGAGGTGCTGCAGTGGTTTTGGGGAGCTTCATAATCGGTGCTTTCACCCACTGTGCCACCAGGGAGGGCCGTGTATGACAAGTTTTTTAGTCATATCACCTCTGTTGGCTTGTCTGTTTGT